TTAGCCCTTAAACTTTGACTTCAGCTTCCCCCATGGGTGGCGGTACATATATAGCAATTAATTAATAACAGTTCATTAGCTGTCTTCTTGCTTCCCTGAATCTCTGGGTTTCCGTCGTTGTCTTTTGGGCTGGACACCGAATCAGGTGGGTCTTCTCCATTTCCTCCTACGTTACATAGAGGGCATGTGGGTTGAGTGTATACTCCCAGGTTACGAAGGGGGCTGAGTGGCTCCTGTAGGTTACATAGAGGGTATGTGGGTTGAGTGTATACCATTTCCTCCTGTAGGTTACATAGAGGGGATGTGGGTTGAGTGTATACTCTTAGGTTACATAGAGGGCATGTGGGTTGAGTGTATACTCCCAGGCTACATAGGGGGCATGTGGGTTGAGTGTATACTCCCAATCCAGAGGGCATGTGGGTTGAGTGTATACTCCCAGTCTGTGAAGGGCATGTGGGTTGAGTGTATACTCCCAATCTGTGAAGGTCCATGTGGGTTGAGTGTATACTCCCAATCTGTGAAGGTGTACATGTGAGTTGAGTGTATACTCCCAATCTGTGAAGGTGTTTATAGGCAATCGTGTTCGGTACGTAGTCTAAACTCATCAACGGTTGTCCAGTACGTAGTCTAAACTCAGCAACGGCTCGTATACTCCCAATCTGTGAAGGTGTTTTGCCAAGCAATCGGAAACCATTTCCTCCTGTAGGTTACATAGAGGGGATGTGGGTTGAGTGTATACTCTTAGGTTACATAGAGGGCATGTGGGTTGAGTGTATACTCCCAGGCTACATAGGGGGCATGTGGGTTGAGTGTATACTCCCAATCCAGAGGGCATGTGGGTTGAGTGTATACTCCCAGTCTGTGAAATGGGCATGTGGGTTGAGTGTATACTCCCAATCTGTGAAGGTCCATGTGGGTTGAGTGTATACTCCCAATCTGTGAAGGTGTACATGTGAGTTGAGTGTATACTCCCAATCTGTGAAGGTGTTTTGATAGGCAATCGTGTTCGGTACGTAGTCTAAACTCATCAACGGGGCAATCTTCTTGGCCAGTCGCTACCTTGAGGTCTGTCCACTATTTCTCCTTTGTTCGAGCTTTGAGTTCGTTGCATCTTGAGGTCTGAAATTCTCTTCTGATTAAGCCATTGTTGTCCTTGACATGAATTCTCTCCTGATTAAGGCCTTCATTGTGTGGACTGTCCGATACGTAGTCTAAACTCAGCAACGGCTTCGATTCTCGTAGTCGGCTATGTCGGAGAGTGCCACTGTCCACTGTTTCTCTGTTGTTCGAGCTTTGAGTTCGTTGAACCTTGAGGTCTGGAAGTCTCCCCGGTCCATAACCTTGAGCCTTCATTGTGTGGGAAGACCCCGGTCCATAACATTGTTGTCCTTGACATGAATTCTCTCCTGATTAAGGCCTTCATTGTGTGGACTGTCCGATACGTAGTCTAAACTCAGCAACGGCTTCGATTCTCGCCAGCCGGGTATGTCGGAGAGTGCCACTGTCCACTATTTCTCCTAGCTATATCGAAGAGTGCCACTGTCCACTGTTTCTGATTCTTGGCTAGTCGGCTATGTCGGAGAGTGCCACTGTCCACTGTTTCTCTTTTGTTGTTTAAGTTCGTTGCACCTTGAGATCTTGAATTCTCTTCTGATCGGGAGAGTGCCACTGTCCACTGTTTCTCATTTCCGAGCTTTAAGTTCGTTGTACCTTGAGGTCTTGAATTCTCTTGATTAAGGTCTTCATTGTGTGGAAAGACATCGGCCGGTCTCGTTGTCCCTTACCAGGCGGTCCATGCATTGCAAAATCGGTATCCCTTGCCTTCAATGCCACAGTGACCAGGAATCCATTGTAGGACCAGTGTTTTGTTTTTCGTCTCAGCAGCTCATAGAGTTTTCTACATTCCTTATCTCAGCTGTTTTCTGCAGCTGATAGAGTTTTCTACATTCCTTTATCTCATCAACAGCTGATAGAGGTTTCTACATTCGTTTATCTCAGCTGTTTTGTTGAACCACTGTTTTGTTTTTCTCTCCCAGCAGCTCATAGCGTTTTCCACTGTTTTGTTTTTCGTCTCAGCAGCTCATAGAGTTTTCTACATTCCTTTATCTCATTCTCTCTCAGTAGCTGATAGAGTTTTTTACATTCGTATATCTCAGCTGTTTTGGATCTCTGTTTCCACATTAGTTTATTGCTGACTGTGAGTCCGAAAGTATCACGCTCTCTGTTTCCAATTGAGTTTATTGTTGCCTGTGAGTATCTCTGCTTCCAATAGAGTCTATTGCTGACTGTAAGTTCGAAATCTACTTCCAATTGAGTTTATTGCTGACTGTGAGTTCGAAAGTGTCTATTGCTGACTGTGAGTCCGAAAGTATCACCGTTTTATTCCTTCTTTTATCTCAGCTGTTTTATCTCTGTTTCCACATTAGTTTATTGCTGACTGTGAGTCCGAAAGTATCACGCTCTCTGTTTCCAATTGAGTTTATTGTTGCCTGTGAGTATCTCTGCTTCCAATAGAGTCTATTGCTGACTGTAAGTTCGAAATCTACTTCCAATTGAGTTTATTGCTGACTGTGAGTTCGAAAGTGTCTATTGCTGACTGTGAGTCCGAAAGTATCACCGTTTTATTCCTTCTTGCAGCTATATCATGATCCAGTGGCGTTTATTCTTCTGTACCGGTACTGACAGCTTATTAGTGTGCTGCGGTTTACGGTTTCTCATTCTGTGGACAGTTCAAGGTCAGTTCACCTCCAATTACTTAAGTGCTTTACAGCAAAGAGAGTTGGGAAGATGTCGGGAGCGGTGTGCACCTGGAAGTTAATAGTCTTGGACTATGTTTACCAGTGAACCGTTGATCATGAATTCTTCATTGAAAAAATTTAACGATTGGTGTTGGGTTAACTATCAAAGTGAATGACTTTCAAGCTAACGTGGAGGTGATGGGTAAATTTAGTGTTTCTAAAATCTAATCCGTCACATTACGCGTACATAAAGAGTAATGCAGGAACACGATTTAATATTCCTTAGGTTGGATATAATTTAGAATGCCTCTAATAAGTGGTCACGTAATTACACGCATTTTTCTTTTTAAGTCTGTTCTTAAGCTTGCTTCAATTGAATTGGAATTACGCTAGTGACAATAGCCTGACTCGGTATGCTACGTAATACTCCGTTTGCGTTCATTCGTTATTCCATCAGGAAGTGGGCTTGTGGGACACGTCATCGCATGCGCGTACACATAGGCTTGAGGTGCGGCTGTACAACCTCGCGTACGGATTGAGGACAAGAGCACGCAGCCAATAGCAGCTCAATGACCTCACTTGTTGTACCAAATCCGCCATGTCGTATGACTGAGTTTCTTCCTTTGTAACACTTCTTGCGTGGTTTAGTCTACTGAATAAACGTGCTCCGTGCTAAACGTCTGTTTCCTTTATACTATAGCTTAGCTGGTTCTGGGAGTCTAGCTGTAGCTGGGGTATAGCTTAGCTGGTTCTGGGAGTCTAGCTAGATGTGGGCTATAGCTTAGTTGGTTCTGGGAGTCTAGCTAGATGGTGGAGATCTTGCCATCGAGATTTCTGAGTCAGTCAGGCTTTACTAAGGTGTTTAGCTGGTTCTGGGAGTCTAGCTAGATGTAGGAGGATCTCCCATTGAGATTTCTGAGTCAGTCAGGCTTTACTAGCGTAGCCAGAGATTTCTGAGTTAGTCAGGCTTTACTAGAGTAGCAATATTTCTGAGTCAGTCAGGCTTTACTAGCGTAGCAATCCGTGCTTTCTGAGTCAGTCAGGCTTTACTAAGGTGGCTAAATCAATGTTCCTCTTTTCCCATCGACGCCTCTCACATAAGCAACTCGTAGAAGCCAAACCTATTCCACAGATAACACGACAGCCAAATTCCACTTGCACGAATTTCGGTCCGAGTTTGCTGTGCATTGGAGGCGGGGGGGGGGGGGGGGGGGGGGGGGGGG